GATGTGATCTGTATGAGTCTGCATGTACTAAACTTGGCATTTTGATTAAATAAGCAAGGGTTTTAGAGTTATTAGCTTTTTAATGTTTGTTACGTGTACTCCACGGTGGGCACATTTTAGGCCAATCAAGTGTATATGATGGATATTTCTTGATTCAGACATAATGTTTAAGAATGTACTTGTGTACTAGTGATGTCATTTTGTTCAATAAATGTCTTCAAATAGGAGAAATTATGAAGTGAATTGGAAGGAGATAGGAGGTTAAAAATTATTGAAGGTGGTGTTTTACTGCCAATTGAAGTAAGTCTTAAGTTGATCGTCTACTAAAAAGCATTTTGTATTGATTTATGTCATACTAGGATCAATTTCATCTGTTATATGGTTTAATGGTAGGACTGAACAAAATACTTTTGCATGCACTGTCTACCATATTGAGAAAACCAGGAGCATGAGCCATCAGCAGACTGTAATCATCATTAATAATTGAATTTACTTGTTTGTGGCATGTCATCAAGGAATTCTACGAAGTCATCAACAATACCTCAGTGATATTAATAATACATAGTTATTTTTAATAAAATTAAATTTCAAATATTATTGGTATGTATATTTTCTCTCTTTTATATTTCCTCTCCTTTGTTTCCTTCACCTTTGGAGTATAAATTAAAATTCTTATGTTGAGAATATTTCCAGAACAGTCTTAAAGGTACTTGCTTAATGCTTCAGCCTTCAAGTAATACTGTCACATTTTTCCACGTGGGTAATGATGTCACTTCCTGCGAAAAGAGCATGTGACCATCCGGTCTTGCCCTGTTTCCAATCCATGTACGTATAATATCTATGCTCCAACATTCCACGGCCACTTTCTTGAATCTCATGAATCTTGTAGAAGCTTTCTTAAAGTTTCTTTAAAGGTTAGTCATTAAATATTTGTGTTGTGTCGGCTATTAAATATATATGTCGGCTTCGCAACTTTGTTCAGTGTTTTTATAGGTTAGGTTAGACCATATTATAATAGATATGTGATTAGACTGTCTAATCACAGATCCAGACTAAAATTGGCCTCGGGGCCATTTTTCTTTCTCTCTTTTACCCTGAAGTTATCTACTTTGAATTCTTTTTTAGTGCTTATAAAAAATCAAAGTAACCCAGTAACCAGAAATTTGCGGCCTGCAAGCAGCACTGAACCCGGCGAGCACTGAACGAATTCCGGCAGCTTACCTTCATACTCGGGGCATCAGCATAAGTTGTTGCTGGTGACAACTTATGCCAATGCCTTGAGTATGAAAGCAAGCTCCCACAATTTTTTCAGGTGGTGGTTACTTTAAACACGATCTTCTAACAAGATGTTGCTAGCAACATAAATTTTAGATATCAGAAATTTTAAATAATATTGGCTTTTTATCCCAATATTTATATATGTGAAAAAGCAATTTTAGCAATTGTAACTTTAGTATGCCTCATACCTTGCCACATATGCATTATTATACAAAAATTCGTACTCGTAACACTTGTTCTAGG